GCAAAATACCAATGCATATAAAATAAAAAAATTATAAAACACAGAAAATTTTAAGACATATGATTTAAGCCTAGACTCACCAGTGATATCATTTCTTGTGGCCCTCGGCTCAAAGTTCATGGCATACAAGTCAGACACAGTGACTGTACATCCCTGCTTGCTCAGTTCTTCAACAGCCACTTTCTTCAGGGACCCATTTAAGGACTTGGGTTCTTGGTGTGCATAGATGATGAGCACTTTCTTACCTGTACCAGGGGAAGAGATGTTTCCTTTGAAGAGCACATCTTTTTGTCAAAACTCAGTGAAGACTAGGGTGAAAGTAATGGATAGGTATATCACTGCATTGGAACAAAGGAACCAGCAACCATTTAAATGGGTGATAAAATAATATTTTAGTACTATTAGAGTGTGCTGTAACTTGGGCTTACTAATACAAATTGAGTAGCTACTATTTTTTAAATGCTTGGGACCAGAAATGACTTGGAATTTGGCTTTTTCAGACTTCGCAAAATTTGTATAGACTTTATAAGTCAAACACCCCAAACTTTAAAATTCAAAACTGTAAGTGCTCGTGAACCCAATCTTTTTGACTCTGGAGATCTGGTAATCATGTGCTCAAAATTGTATCTTTGGATTGAGATAGTCAACCTTTACTCACAAATACAATGAACTAAACCATGTCTCCTTAGAAAACATACAACTAAAATCTTTTAAAAGCCTGCTCAGTTTGGATAACCTTTTATGACAAGTTTTAGCCTTTCTCTGTAACACAAAACAAAACAAAAAATAAAAGGAATTAACCTCCTGTGACTGGTGTATTCTGCTTCCACCTCCCCCACGTCCATGGACACCTAACATTTAAATAAAGTAGGATGAAGCAGACCCTGGTGTCTTGAGGGAGACAGAGCCATGTGGAACCTCTTTTGGTGGTGACATTGAGATAAAATTCTAAGAGCAGGCCATGAAGGCACTGTTTCTGTCATAAATAAGCATAAGGACCTGAATTTGGTTCCTAGCACCCACCCAAGGGTGTCAGCACATGTCTAACACTACTACTTAGTAGGGGGTGGGTAGAGATAAGAGAATACTGGGAGCTCAGAGGCTAGCCAGTCTAGGTCAATCACGGTGCTGCAGATTCCATTACAGACCCTATATTTAAAAAATAAGGTTGAGGGGCCTGAAGAGATGGTTCAGAGGAGCTCTTCCAGAGGACCTGGGTTCAATTCTCAACACCTACACTGGCAGTTCACAATCATCTGTAACTGTAGTTGCAGAAGATCCAATGCCCTCTTCTGACCTCTGGATGCAAGACATGCATGTGGTACACAGACATACATGCAAACACTCATATACATAATAAGAGAATTTTAAAAATCAGGTGGAAAATGAGTGAGGAAGATATCCAGTGTCAACATTCGGCCTTCTCATGTGCACACACATGGAAGTGCACCTGCATATGCATGTGTGCTTGTACACGTACACACACACACACACACACACACACACACACACACACACACACACACGAGCATGCATAGTAAAACTCTTGTGTGTGTACGGGTGCATGTCAATGTAAGTACACCTACATTATAGAGGCCAGAGGTCTGTGTCAGGTGTCTTCTTCAGTGGCTTTCTACCTTACTTTTTTAGATAGTCTCTCATTGAACTGATTTGGCTCGAGTGGCTGGACAGAGAGCTCCAGGAATGCCTCTGTCTGCATGCTGGGTTACAGATGAGTGCTCCTGTGCCTGGCTTTTGTGTGGGTGTTAGGAATCTGAACTCAGGTCTCATGTATGTTTGGCAAGCACTTTACTGGCAATCTCTCTGGCACTAAGATGTTAAATTCTTGGTTTGAACTTTCTAGTCTAGGACCCTGAATTGAAAACACATGTTAGTTTGAAGCAAACAGTTTCAGGGCATTCATCTGAGTGTAAAGGTTGAATTCCACGTGTTGGGTTACTTATTAGGTTTTACTTCACTTTCTAATGCTACAGTGCTATAAAGGAACTGTACTTTGAAGGCTTGCCAAGAGAATGGATATAAATGAAATACCTACATCACTGTTTCTCAATTGGGGCAGCATTACCAGTCACGGGCACCGCTGTCAAAGGTGTGGATGTTTCTAATTGCCATAACTGGTGGTGGAAGGGGTGCTTCTGGCATCTAATGGGCACAGCCCAGAGACAGTGCTAAATACACTATAAGATGGCACCTGTAAGACTGATCCCATCTCAAATCAGTAGTACCAAGGGTGAAAAATCCAAAGCCAGGTAAAGGGACAGAATATAGCTCAGTAGAGTGCTTTTCTGGCATGTACAAACAAACAAATATTGTAAAAGCAAAGGAAAAACCCAAATCTATACCATAACATGTACAATAAGGTAAATCTACATGTTTGAAGTGAAAGAATTACAATGTTATATATTACTGAGTAAAAAATAATGAGTTGTAAAATTACATATGTGTCTCTGATGTGTTCATGTATATAATAAACACACACAGAGGCACTGGAGGTGGGCGCAGTGATAGAACACGTGTTTCTGGTGCATGTGATGCTGTTTGGTCTCCAGTACTGCAGAAGGAGGGGAAAGGTAAAGATGGAATCAAACCTTGGTCTAAAATAGAAGCCCATTTCCTCAGTTTCCCTTTTTAGGGAACTTTTTGTCCCAAGGATGGTTTCTGGACAATGACAGGATAGCCGTGCATCCCACTTTTTCTGGAGGAGGTTGAAATGGAAAAAGTAAAAATATGAAAGAAAATAATTACATGCAGTGATCCATGTCATAAACCAAGAAGATTCATATATGCATCTAGGTTGCTTAGGATTTTTAATAACAAATGATAGAATTTCTGGCTAAATGTCTTACATCTCCATAACAGGTCATTACCTGCCATGCTGGAGGGGATGGATTCTCTGATTTGGAAGAGTAGTTCAAAGTTTCAGAACTGTCTCTCTTCTTGGTGACTGCAACACTCTGGAAGAGAAAATAAACTCAGAGGAGGAATGGAAGATAGGGCTGAGGTCAGGATACCAAGTGTAGGCCTCCCAGTGGCTGCTTCACAAACACTTCTGAACACAGACTTCTCAGAGGGTGAGGCAGCCTCTGGAGAAGTGGGCTTCTGGGATAAACCACACACAATGCCAAACCAGCACTTTTCTGTGTTTTCTGGAAGCACTTGAACTTTCCATGCAGGCAGCTATAGAAGAATTCCTGGGAAATGAACCACAGATAAAAATTTGAGTGGTGGCTCCTCAGCCAGCCTTCCTGCATCCCAAGACTTCCCTTTTAGCTAGTGAGGCTGATAAGATGAAGGGTACTGGGGAAGTCAAGGGGGTGGTGTCACTGTGCATTACTGGGCCTTTTTCTCAACTATAAATAAGGCCAGTTAGGTGCTTCAGTCTTCCATCTAGAGTTACAGGGTGGCCCAGAGAAGTAAGAAAGAGGGCACATA